TTCTCGTGTGTAACTGAATCTAGAAAACTGTATTAATACAGTTTTCTAGATTCAGTTTCACACGAGAAATAAGCAAAAATTAGTTTGGAGGGGTAAACATGTCGAAAAATCAAAATATATCTATTTTACCCAAAAATGGAGTATTCCAATATTTTGAGTTTTTTTCCGCCAATAATATCCTTTGAAAAATAAAACGCTATTGGGTTTATAGTTTTGGTATTTTTTATAGTCAAACTTTTTTGGTTCATCGCCGAACAACCGTTTGCAGTAAGAAAAAATAATGTCCCGTTTATTAGTATTATGCTTTTCAATGGTTATGTTACTTACATTGTTGGCTAGTGTCAATGGCCGAAACTTAGCTACCTCTGATCATGATGATGATCTTGATCTGTTAGAACGAATTCTTATTAGAAAACGTGAAAGCTGTGCCTGTGGTATGAACTGTCCTGGAAATGTAAAGTGTCCGCACGCATCAGCGTGTGGCTATTATGGACCAGGCGTGGGTTGGAAATGTACCGGTAGTACCAATTATAATTAGATTCATCAAAAAAAATAAAGCTACATTACAGAGGCACAAAAAGGCTTTATGACATAACTACACGTTTATTTATTAATTAAACACGCAGTAAAATAATGTCTTGTGGGTTATAATAATGGCAAAGTACAGTGTTATTTATTCACAAAATATAGGAGTAATCAAAAGCAGAATTTATTTTTTAACCGGATTTATTTTCGTAGTTCTACCATATTTTATAGCTAATTGAACACTAGGCAGCATACCACTTCTATGACTAATAAGTAATTGCTTTAGTTTATTATCAATGTCATTATAGATTTTTTTGCGTTTACACACCTCAATATCTGATTCTTCAACTTAATGATATTGATATACATGCAACAAGACTAATATACTTCTCTACAAAAATATATACTGAATGTTTTATTATACGACATAAAAGCAAAAGCTTGTACATTGTTGCTCTTTTGTCCTTTGCAGAGAATGGCATTGATGGATATGACATAATGAACAGTGTCGTTCATACTATGAACAATTATGAACCTATCCGTCCTGTGCTGTCTGTTTGTTTGTGATATTGTTTTGTTCTTGAACGATAGTTTTCGTTTTTACATTTCTTCAATGTTTTCTGAATACAGCTGTGAAATTTTATATTTTTTGATAATTAAATATAATCTCTTTTACCGTAAACTCTTATTTACGATAGTCTTCTATATGCGTTTCGGCTTTTCTAAAATCGTCTGCTGATTTTTTTGCTTGCTGTTGTCATTTTACTGCACAAAGAAATAGAAAAGCTATAGGACAAAACTTATAGGCGGCACACGATTGGAAGAGAAATTATGTGAAACTATAAGGCTATAACTTTAGTTAAAAAGAAATATTAATTTAAAAATTAGAAAGAGTTATCCTAGTTTAACATATATGAGAATGTTCGTAGAACACAACAGAATAGCGATCCTGGCTCTAACAGAAGTGAAACAAGAGGTGAAATAAATTTGTTACTATTTATTCAGCTGCGAATAAAACAAGTTTTAAAAAAAGCACCTCTCTCTAGGAATAAACACAAAATCTTTCTGAATCTTTTACTGCTTTGGGAGAGCACCGGTGGAGACTGATGTAATGAAATTAAGTCTATCTTTCTTGGAATATTGTTGTCGTTTAATTCAATTTAAACGCTACTACTTATGACTTGGGCATTGCTTTAATAAAGTTTAACGCATTAAGCTTACACAGGCTCTGTTCTTAAGAAACTTTGAAATAATGCTTAGTTTTCAATCGCCATCTAGCACCTTCTATTATACAATATTTGGATAATAAATTCTTTCCCTACTTTTCTAGTGAGATATACTTCTCAATTATGTCAGTGGTTCTTAGAAATACTTAAAATGTATACGCAATAAGTTCAATTGTGACTTAAGTTTCAGACAATTAAAGACTTACTTTCGTTTTTCCTCCTTTTTGGGAACCTCAGTGAATTAAATAGTTTACAGAAAAAGAGAACCAAGTTTGAATGTTTAGAAAAAGTCAACTGGCTACCCTTTTCAAACAAATGTTTGAATGGGTTCTTTTCATTTCAAGAGTCGGCGCTAAGGTTGTAAGCTAACACTCTCGCCTACTAACAAAAGGTACTGTCGGTGTTTTGCTTTTTCATTCTCAACGAAGTTGTTTATACCACTGAGTAGTTGGTGTAGATTCAACACGTGCGCGCTTTAACAAATCCTGATGACTCAGATCTTGTTTGATCTTGCCATGAAAGTCTTCTAATTCATTGTTGCCTAATGGACAAAGTTTTCAAAC